AACCTGTCTTTGATGATCCTGAAAGTTCCCTTGATGGAAAATAGATCTAAGCAGTATGTCATGGTCGCTAATTTTCCCTGGATAATATTAAAATATATAGAAGGTTTGCTATGTCTCCTGGCCCTGGATAATAAGTCTGAAACAGTTTGTGTGAATGAAGTTTTCACACATTTGCTCTTTATGTCATTCTGTAGACTCGAAATGAGCAATACAGGGAGATTCATTTTGCTCATCTATCGTTTCTAAATTTTTGGTAATGAAAATTATTACTTTTGTAAAGAAAGTTATAAAAATACTAACAGAATTAAATATAAAAATGCAGGGTACTTGAATCTCAAGAAAATAGGTGCTTACTATGATTAAAAGACTGCACATAATTAGTTATAATTAATAATGCTTTTTCTTTTTTTTTTGTTTACATGAAATCTTTTAGAAAATAATGCTTTTTCAAAGATTGAATTTTAGGTAAACGTTTATGTTATTGTTTGCTTAAGTTTTCCTTTTTCTCTGCCTCTCATTTCTAGAGTCACCAGAAGGAAAATATAAAACATTTTTTAAAGGGCTCTTTCCCTGTAAATCATCAAGCACATACTCTTCATTTTTTCTAGTTTCAGGCATAAAGGGAAACTCAGCTCAGATAAGAGTGATCCTTGCTGCATGCTCAGTGGCTCATGTATCTTTCTTTTTAAAATTACTATTATTTTTTATTTTTAAATACTTATTTTTAATTTTTTTAGAGTCAGGGTCTTTGTTGCCCAGGCTGCAGTGCAGTGGCGCCACAGCCTTGAATTCCTTGGCTCCTGGTTGGTCCTCCTAATTCAGCTTCTTCAGTAGCCAAGACTATAGGCATGAGCCACCATGTCTGGATAGTTTTTTAATTTTTTTGTGGAGAATGGGGTCTTGCTTGGTTGCCTAGGTTGGTCTTGAATTCCTGGCCTCAAGCAATCTTCCTGCCTTGGCCTCCCAAAGTGTTGGGATTACAGGTGAGCCAGTGTGCCTAGCCATCCTTTTTTTTTTTTTTTTTTTTTTTTAAGTTCTAAGAGGCTCCAGCTCAAACATAAGTTAGCAGGTTAAAGGCCACTCCAAGTTCTGGTAGAGCTAATCTTTATTGCTTGGTCTTCAAAAATAGAAATTTGTAACTTTTTTTTTTTTTGAGACAGGGCCTTGCTCTGTCACCCAGGCTGGAATGCAATGGTACAGTCTTGGCTCACTGCAGCCTTTGCCTCCCAGGTTCAAGTGGTTTTTCCCAGTAGCTGGGATTACAGGCGAGTGCCACCATGCCTGGCTAGTTTTTGTACTTGTAGTGGAGACAGGGTTTTACAGTGTTGGCCAGGCTGGTCTCAGACTCCTAGTCTTAAGTGATCCACCCTCTTTGGCTTCCCAAAATGCTGGGATTATAGGCATGAGACACTGTACTTGGCCTTGTAACTCCTGTTTAACATACCTTCAAAGTGAAGGTCTTTGACCATGAGCTTTTCTTTGACATCATCTAGTGTCCGCTGGTGACCCATTAGCTCCAAAACTTTCTACTTTTTCTTGGAAGCTTTGCTGGTGTCTGTTGGAATGGCCATGGCTGCTCTGGTCATCCGTTCAGGCCTCACTGTTTATTGGTTAGTTGCCATTATCTTGACCCAGAATCACAGTAAATTCTCTGAAGCCCAAATACATTGAGGAAATACCAGGATGCAGAGCTCATTCAGGGTGCATCTAATGTGAGAAGTTTGGTAACTTGCTGCAGCATAGGCTTAAAACTAGAGGGTCAGCTGGGTACAGTGGGTCATACTTGTAATCCCAGCACTTTGGAAGGCTGAGCCAGGAGGATCACCTGAGGTCAGGAGTTCGAGACCAGCGTGGCCAACATGGTGAAATCCCATCTCTACTAAAAGCACAAAAATTAGCCAGACACGGTGGCGGGCGCCTGTAATCCCAACCACTTGGGAGCCTGAGGCAGGAGAATCTTTTGAACCCAGGAGATGGAGGTTGCAGTGAGCCGGGATAGCACCATTGCACTCCAGCCTGGGTGACACAGCAAGATTGTCTCATAAACAAACAGAAACAACAAATCAGAGGGTCCCTGGAAATAGGACCTTGGTTGCAACAATGCCTGAGTATGTTATGTTGATCCATCTACCGGTAAGAATCACAGGGATGATATTTGTTATATTTCCTTTCATCATGTCTGAGAGCATAGTGGGAGAAAGTGGTGATATTTTTATCCTCTGGGTTGTTGATGTAATATTTTTATGTCAAGAAAAGACTTTTTGGGAGTGTAATTTCCATTTTCCCTTAAGACTCTGCTTAAAATTAGGACATAACTGTCAGATCCTTGCTCCTGTGAGCTTCTTGTTGCTCTGTAGCAGGATGAACATGTAGTGGCAGATCATGTCTGAGAAGAAGCAGATGATAAATATGGGCAGGACCATCCGGAGGCTGATGAGTTGAACAGTAGCTCCTACCCTCTGGTCAGAGAGCTGGTCTGGCTTCCTCTCCTGGGGTGCTGGGGCTCTTCTTTGGGTTCTCCTCGAGGTCTTCTCATGCCCCTCATCCTGGGCATTATCTTGGCCTAGGACTAGCTAAGACCCTGCTACAGCCTTAGGCTTAGTGGACTGCTTCCAGCTCCTCCAGCTGCACTGTCCGTGGCCCGCTGCAGCCCTGCATCCATTCGACTTTTCACTAATGGTATCTGAAGACTACAGAGTTCTAAACAGAAACTAAGAGCTCCCTGATGTCTTTTTGCTTGTTGTAAGCCATCTCTATTAAGATTACATTTTAGAATGAAAGTTGTTAAATCAAAGGATTTTGTTTGATCACTCTGATGTCCACTTGCTTCAGTGAAAAAAAAGCAGGGTATAATAATACATTAGGTGCATAGGAATTCACTTTGTGAAACACAAAAAGTTTTTATTTGTCACTGCCTACCACACAAAATAGTAAGGATTCAATAAAAAATTATAGACTAATGGCTGAAATGATTGAAAGAATACATAGGAAAAATGAAGTTTTACACACCAAATTGTTAACTGCACTTATTTCTGTTCCAGAGACTCTAGTTGATTATTCTTTTTCGTATTATTCTATTCTATTATTCACCACAGTGAATACATAATTTTTACTTAATGTTTTTAAAAAGTTGTGCTTTCTCTTGTTTATAAGCAGTGAGAGATTGATGAAAGTGAAAGTACTTTGTAGAAAGAACTGTGTAGCAAGTCATAAATTCAGTCATTCCCTGAAATGTCCTAAGCTTCTAAGGAGTTTTGTTGTCCTTTTACTCTGAAGGGCAGCACAGTAGTTGGGATGTGTCAAAAGGAAAAAAAAATCTTCCATAGTTTAGATACATAGAACAAATTGGGCCATAATTCCAGAACTGATGACTTAGTTCCACAACAAAGAACACATCTGAGAGGCTTCAGATATAATAACAAATGAATAGTGGCTGTCTTACTCTTGCTTTAAAATAGCATGCTTAAATACTGGGATGTGAGACCCATTCACTGGGTGGAGACCTTTTGGGAGAGAAAAATAGAAGTTATCCTTATCCTCAAGGAGCTCATAGGCAAATGACTATCACTAGGTAGTAACACTTAAGAGTTTTTATACTTCAGTTGAATTAATATTTATTTAAAATAGGAATGATAATTTATTTCTGCTGAAATTTTTATAAAAAGTAAGTAAAAAGCATTAATATTTCAAAAATACAAATTTAGATAATATAAATATAAATTTGCTAATTGTAAGTAAATGTTTTTTGAGTATTTAAGTCAAAGACTACTAAATATAATTTTACAAAATGATTTATTTTCTGAGTAGGTAATGCTTTACTTGGGCAAAACAATTTCAGAAGAGTATGTGGTAAAGTTCCTTCTACCCTGCCTCCCAGCCACCATTTCCCGAGATATTTTATGCATTTGTAAGCATATATGTATCTTCATTTAAAAATCATAGATGGTATTATATTATGCCTACTTTACCTTGCTTTTCTGGAGTACAAAGTGTTTTATATGCTTATCTCCTTTAACATGTACAATAGTTGTCATGACAGGTACTCTTATTAATATTCCCATTTTACAAGTATGGAAATGAAGACATTTGAATTTCTGAATAACTTGTGCAGGGTCACATAGCTGATAGTTATAGAATGTACTTCCTGAGGAACTACTTATTTATTTAGTTCACTTATTTATTCATTTATTTTGAGTCAGAGTCTTGCTCTTTTGCCCAGGCTGGAGTGCAGTGGTGTGATCTTGGCTCACTGCAACCTCCCCTTCCCAGGTTTAAGTGATTCTCCTGCCTCAGCCTCCTGAGTAGCTGGGACTACAGGTGTGCCCCACCACACCCACCACTTTTTGTATTTTTAGTACAGGCAGGGTTTCACCAAGTTGGCCAGGCTGATTTCAAAATCCTGACCTCAAGTGATCTGCCTGCCTCAGCCTCCTGAAGTGCTAGGATTGTAGACATGAGCCACTGTGCCTGGCCTGGTTACCTTTTTAATTTGAAAGAATTTCATACTTACAGAAAAGTTGCAAGAATAGAATAAAGAATTACATATGCCCTTTGCCTGGATTCCTCAGTCAGGTATTGAGATAGCAGAAGCAGCTATCTCAATAATATTGGCAAAGGAACCACCCTAGGATCACACATTGTTCCCAGTTGTCATGTCTCTCTAGCCTCCTTCAATATGAAACAGTTTCTTCACTCTTTATTTGATTTTCATGACCATGGTATCTTTGGAGATCATGGGCCAGAACTGTCCAGAGAGATTTTGTAGAATATTTCTAAATTTGTGGTTGTCCATATTTCCTCACAGTTACCCCCATATTAGGCATTTTTGACCACAGTACCCCAGAAGTTATGCTTTGTTCTTCCCATTGCATCCTATCAGACAGCACCTAATGTTAATTTGTTCCATTATTTCTATTAAAGGAAAAAAGGGGTATGGGAAAGTAACTTGATGGTTTGCTTTTCAGAGAACCCTTGGTTTAGTGAGTATCTTTTCCTTGTAGCACCCTGGAGGAGAAGAGGTTCTGCTGGAACAAGCTGGTGTAGATGCAAGTGAGAGCTTTGAAGATGTAGGACACTCCTCTGATGCCAGAGAAATGCTAAAGCAGTACTATATTGGTGATATCCATCCGGTAAGAACTATCACAGCTAGGAGCCCTTATGCAGAGAAAACTACTGAACAGCTGTGGAACAGGATGAAGAAATGAATTATTGGCAGTGTGTGGTAGCTCACACCTGTAATCCCAGCACTTTGGGAGGCTGAGGCAGGCAGATCACTTGAGGTCAGAAGTTTGAGCCCAGCCTGGCCAACATGGTGAAACCCCACCTCTACTAAAAAATAAAAGAATTAGCTGGATGTGGTAGTACACATTGTAATTCCAGCTATTTGGAGGCTGAGGCACGAGAGTTGCTTGAACCTGGGAGGTGGAGGTTGAGGTGAGCAAAGATCACACCACTGCACTCCAGCTTGGGTGACAGAACAAGACTCCATTTCAAAAAAAAAAAAAATGAATTATTGAAATGAAAATTCATTCAACCTAGCCATCAGGGTAAATTTTCTCTAAAATTGTCTAGTCTTAACTTTGCTAGGATATAGCTTCTTTGCCAGGTAGCACATGTAATATCTCTAAAAAGCTAAGGGAACTGATTTTGGATTTTATGCATTGATTCATTTTTGTAATGCAGTTAATAACACCTCTACCTAAAATAGTGGTTTGCTTTTGCAAGCTCCCTGCTAAAGGTAGTAATTATAGACTTTAAAACTATCCATATATGCCTTTCTAACAAGGGACCCTGATATGCTCAGAGTAGGGGTCAGTATCTTTTTATAGATCCTTATGTCTCCCAGGGAAATTCACTATCACCAGAATATAGTCTCATGTTTCAAAGTTAGAAGCAAGCATATAGTAGGAGTTCATTTGGATATATCTTAAAATATTTGTTTTTCTCTTTTTAATAGAATGATCTTAAACCTGAAAATGGTAGCAAGGTAAGAAGTCATTGGTTTGTCTTGTGTTTTTATATTTCTGTTTATTCAAGTAGAACTGCTTTTTGAAACATTTTTCTTAACACGGGTTACGAAAAAGTAAAAGTATTTACTTTTTCCCCAAGCAAAAATCCTATTTTTCAGGAATTTGGACTCAGTATCATTTCAGGAAAAAAAAGAATAGCTGAATCTTGAACAGTAGGAAACATTTTGCTAACACTTCTATATGCTTTTTTTAAAAAATTGAAACTCCAAAACCATGCTCTGTATGATTTTGAAAGAAATTAGTTTATGGGTTCAGTTGTAGCAAAATATCTTACTTTTACATTATATACAACAGGTGATAATAATTGTTTCTGTGTTGGAAAAAATAATTGCAAAGTTATTTTGTTTCTCATAGGTTATCTTTACCTGTAATACAGAGGTCTTTCTGTCCTTATTTTCCAAATTTAATTCTTTTATCCTATAGGATCAAATAGGCCCATACCCTTCCCAGTTACTTAGTAATACAGTGAAAACAAAAGACTAATTATTTGAGTGTTTGAAAACTTTAATGTGTACTACACTATATATGAGGAAGAAAATATGGAACCATTTTCTGCCTCCCACATGCTAGGTGGTTCATCTCACTTATTCCCTAACAAGTTTCCTTAACTTCTGTCCTTCAGGTAGCTGTTACACAGATAGCTGTTAAACTGTTGTAAAGGGACAACAGTTTAGGTGCTACCTAGAACATATGAAAGTGATGCTGCCTCCCTCCCCTCTTCCTCCTCTTTGCTGCTTGCTTTCATTCCTCGCTGAGCTGGAATTACTGAATAGGTTTGACACAGCGATTAAAGTTGGCCTAGACACAAGAATTCTATCAACTCAAGAGATTGCTTGCTTAACAGTGTCTGCCATCTGTTGCCCTGCAATCCAGAGTGTTTGTGTAAATTAACTCTTCCATCTTGCTAGACTGCTACTCTGAACTATTGAATTCTTTCTGAAAGGGGGAATGAAATGGTTCTTTAAACTTGTGTAAGCTGTTGGTTGTTTGACCTCTTCTCCTAACACATGTACTATCCATTCTTGAATCCTTAAAAAAAAAAAAATAGTTTAGAACCATATCTTGTTAAAAAAAAAAAAAATTTCCTCCTATCTGCAGTTCTCAGTCTCTTAGTTCCTCTTCCCTGGAGGTAACCAGCCATCATTTTTTGTTGTTGTTTACTCTTAATAACTTGTGTTATTAAGGTAAAATTTGAACTAAGCATGGCCTTGATTAGTATATTGAACATGTCCAGAAAATACTACACCCAGAGGTCAACATCTGATTCAAGGGATAAGGAGCCATAACTCATTTCTGCACAGCAACTAGGAGAGCATCTTTGATATTAAAACAATAGAAAAAAGATTTTTGCAATTACAGTGTCTAGAACTCTACAAATTGCTTCTTGTTGCTGTTTTTCTTTCCTGGTAGTATAGTTAGGACCATTCTTAGGAATGTAGAACAGTGTTCCCAAAGTTCTGTTCTTGTGTCACCTCAATTGGAATCCCTTGGCATGTACATTAAAATATATATGAAATATTTATTTCTTGGGCTTCAACTCCTGCTGATTTGGAATCTCTGGAGATAGGTTTTCAGAATTTGCAATTTAAGTAATCTAGGTGATAAATAGGTAGCTAAGCACAAACTTTTTGCTGAATGATATGACCATATTTTCATTCAAAAACAGGAAAATTTAATACTCTTCTGTGGTAAGCATTGTCTGCCTTCTATAGGCCAAATAATTAGAGATTTCTTAGCTGAATTAAAACGATTGAGCCATCCAGGTACAGTGGCTCATGCCTGTTATCCCTATACTTGGGAGGCTGAGGTGGGAGGATCACTTGAGCCCGGCAGTTGGAGACTGCCTGGCCAACATGGGGAGATTCTGTCCCCTGTCTCTATTTTTATACAAATCATAAAATTAGCTGGGCATGGTAGTATGTGCCTGTAGTCCCAACTACTGGGGAGGCTGAGGCTGGAGGATAGCTTGAGCCCAGGAATTTGAGGCTGCAGTGAGCTATGGTCACACCATTGCACTTCTGTCTGGGTAACACAACATGACCCCATCTCAAAAAAAAGAAAAAGAAAAAAAACCCAAAAAAACTATTAAGCCTTAGATTTTTTGTAAGAAATGTAGAATAAGAAAGCACTTAAGCTCACCAAGTTCTGTAATAATTTGGAGGTCTCCAAATGTAGTTTAGTTCCTATCTGGGTTAAAAAGTAACTAAAGGCAGTGTGTTTTCAATCCTGTTTTCCTCATGTTGCTGTTCTCAAGGGATATGTCTTCATTAAGTAGAGAGTTTGGCTATTGTGTTACTAGTCACTGTGCTCTACTTCAGGCAGATCAGGCAAGAAAAGCCTTTTGGAACATTTTCAAGACCACCTACATAGGTTTTTATAGAGCTATATTCCAACCTGACTTCAGTTCCAGGAAGAAATTCTTGCTCTCTCAGATATATTTCTTACAGAGGTTTAAATAGGCACTTGGTGTCTAGGATGTAGGTGTCTCTTTTCTTCATATTTAATCTCTGGTTTAAACATTCATCATTCAGAAATGGAAGTGGAATTCATTTCATTGGTTACCTTCCTTTCTCTTGGCCCAGGGTTTCTGAATCTCTATGAAGAAGTGATTTTTTAAAGTCTAATTAAAAGGTATCTTCAGCCTATGGGAGAGAGCTTTCATTTCCATTTTATAACACAGGTAAATAATTAATGGTCACCATTGTTTTATTGTTAGATGGAGAGTACCTGAGATGAAGGCCCAGCATTATTATACTAAAACTTAAAGGCTTAAAAACTTAAAGATCTAGCAACAGATGTTTTTCTTACCCACTTCAATCAACAATAACTAACTAGAATTAAAAACCATTTGTTTTTGTGAATCTCTTTCTTGCTGGGTTAACTCTCATGCCGAAAGCTGTCAGTCTTCTACTTACATTTGACTTAACATTTTTCTGGTCTGTTTTTGGTTATAGAAATTGACCTTAGAAACAGATTTAGGGCTCTCTGTGCCAGTTTGCCTACTTGCTTGCCTGCTGTTTAGCAAATAACCTGTAAACATTCATGTCCATGAATTCTCTCTTTTGTTGATGTATTTTGGTTTTATCACTTAATCTGCCATAAATTCAAGAGATATAGTACATACAAATCCTAACCTGACTGAAAAAGTGGGCACCATTTCATTCATTTATTCAACAGATATTATGTAGATTATAGTTCAACTGCTTTACTAGTCAAATCTTGTAGTCAAATAGATCCAGTAACTTGACCAGTTCCCCATTAAATTTTTTTTGGTGTAGTATAAAATGTACATGGTAAAAAAAAAATTTAAATAGTTCAAAACAGTATACTATAAAAAAATTCCCTCCTATCTTTAGCTCTCAGATTCTTCCCCTTCCCTGGAAGTAACCAGCCATCATTTTTTTACTGTTTACTCTTCCAAAGATTCCATGCATTCAGATAGATGGATGGATGGATGGATGGATAGAACAACCAACCATCATTTCCTTTAAAAAAGTAGAAAAACTCATATATACTATTCTTCACCTTGCTTCTCTTTACTTAAAAATTTTATTTGTTGACCAGTGGTGTGGCTCGTCCCTGTAGTCCCAGTACTTTGGGAGGCTGAGGCAGACAGATCACATGAGGCCAGGAGTTCGAGACCAGCCTGGCCAACATGACGAAACCCCGTCTCTACTAAAAATACAAAAATTAGCTGGGCATGGTGGTGTCCCAGCTGTTTGGGAGGCTGAGACAGGAAAATGGCTGAGGTTGAACCTGGGAAGCAGAGGTTGTAGTGAGCTAAGATTGTGCCACTGCACTATAGCTTGGGTGACAGAACGAGACCCTGTCTTAAAAAAAATTTATTTTTTTAATTCATTATTTCTTGTCAGTTTATGAGAGGATATGGTGGTTCATGCCTGTAATACCAGCACTTTGGGAGGCCAAGGTAGGTGAATCATGAGGTCAAGAGATTGAGACCATCCTGGCCAACATGGTGAAACCCCGTCTCTACTAAAATTACAAAAATTAATTGGGCATTGTGGCACGTGCCTGTAGTCTCAGCTACTCAGGATGCTGAGGCAGGAGGATTGCTTGAATCCGGGAGGCGGAGGTTGCAGTGAGCTGAGATCGTGCCACTGCACTCCAGCCTGGCAACAGAGTGAGATTCCATCTCAAAAAAAAAAAAGCTCTTTCTCATTCTTTTAAGTAGATATTTAGTATTCCATAGATGAAAGTATTGATGGGATGACATTTGCTTTCAAAGGATTTGATCTGCTTTTTGAAACAAATAAAATTGTCTCCTTAGAGGCTTAACGTGTTTTTTAAACTTCATTTTTAACTTAAGAAGTTTAACTTTTGAAATCTAGTAAATTTTATGTGTTAGAAGCAGTCTATTAATTGCATTTAAAGTTACATTTTTTCTCCCAGATGTTACTAAATTTTATTATACATACAGTTTCCTGTTATATAATATATTATGTAATATACAGTTTATGTCTTTTATGGGAGAGAAACTAAAAATATATTGTTTATAATTATGATATATAGTTAGTTGATTAAAAATTTTACTTTTAGGTCAGACGTGGTGGCTTACACCTGTAATCCCAGCACTTTGGAGGCTGAGTTGGGTGGATCCAAGGTCAGGAGTTTGAGACCAGCCTGATCAACATAGTGAAACCCTGTCTCTACTAAAAATATAAAAAGATGAGCTGGGTGTGGTGGCAGGCGCCCGTAATCCCAGCTATTTGGGAGGCTGAGGCAGGAGGATCGCTTGAACCCAGGAGGTGGAGGTTGCAGTGAGCCACTGCACTCCAGCTAGGGTGACAGTGTGAGACTCTGTCTCACCAAAACAAAAAATGTTTTTACTTTTAAGAATTATTTAATATCCCTACCATACCTACAACCTAACTTCTTAAAGTTTAGAATGGGATGCTGATACCCTTTAGACAAGTGGTGATTGCTGTTTACCAAAGAA